CCTGGCTATTTTTTAGTTGCAGACATCATTGTTTGGCAGGCCCAAGTTGGATTCGAACCTGCCACCTTGGGTGTATGTGGCTGGCACCTTAGCCATTTGAGCCACAGGTGCTGAGCGAATGGAGATAATTCTTGCTGGAAGTGAGAAGTTTGGTTGTAAGGGTGAAGACAAGACAACAATGGAAGCTGGAGAGAAATATGGAGCTGGGGAAGTTTTGCTTTTATTTTTTTCTTGAGATAGAGTCTCACTATGTCACCCTTGGTAGAGTGCCATGACGTCACAGATCACAGCAACCTCAAACTCTTGGGCTTAAGCAATTCTCTTGCCTCAGCCTTCCAAGTAGCTGGGACTACAGACACCCTCCACAATGCCTGGCTTTTTTTTTTTTTTTGGTTGCTATTGTCATTGTTTGGCTGGCCTATGGCGGGTTCAAATCTGCCAGCCTTGGTGCATGTGGCCAGCACAATAACCACTGTGCTACTGGGCGACTAGCTGAGCTGGGTAAGTTTTTAAGAAGTAAATAAAAGAGACTTGAGTATTTTAAAAATATAATGGGAAGGATCTAGTGGAGATGAGGTGCTTTAACATAAAAAAGAGATCATGTAGGGAGGCGCCTGTGGCTCAGTGAGTAGGGCAGTGGCCCCATATACAGAGGGTGGCGGGTTTGAACCTGGCCCTAGCCAAACTGCAACAACAACAAAAAAATAGCCAGGGCTTGGTGCCTCTGGCTGAAGTGGCCAAGGTGCCAGCCACATACACCTGTACTGGTGGGTTCAAATTCAGCCTGGGCCGGCCAAACAACAATGACAGCTGCAACCGAAAACTAGCCAGGCATTGTGGTGGGTGCATGTAGTCCCAGCTACTTGGGAGGCAGAGGCAGGAGAATCGCTTGAGCTCAGGAGTTGGAGGTTGCTGTGAGCTGTGATGCCACAGCACTCTATTCAGGGCGACAGCTTGAGGCTCTGTCGAGAAAAAAAAAAAGCCTGGTGTTGCGCAGGGGCCTGTAGTCCCAGCTACTCCAGAGGCTGAGGCAAGAGAATCACCTAAGCCCAAGAGCTGGAAGTTGCTGTGAGCTGTAATGCCAAGCACTCTACTAAGGGTGACAAAGTGAGACTCTGTCTCTAAAAAAAAAAAAAAAAGAAAAGAAAAAGAGATCATGTAGAATTTCTGAGAAGGTGGAGGGGCTGGGATCTATAAAAATAAAAACACATTTAATCCTAAAACTTTGATTCTGCCTTTGTTAAAATTAAACCTTTGAAGATTATTTTAAAATTTTCTCAAAACACCTTTTATTAACTTTAGTTACTATTGATATGCAAGTGCCTCACAAAGGTATTAATAAGAAACATTGAGAGGGAAGAATTTTGTTGACATAAATACCTTAAGAATTCAAACAACTATGCTGGCTATTACTCTTCTCTGTAAGATAAGGAACACAGGTTAGAGAATATTTACATTCTAGTGACCCTTCAGTTGCACAAGGAACAAAAAACACTGTTAAGAGTTAGGTGGGGCAAAGGTCTTACTAAAGCATAAACCTCTGCAGGCTCTGGTTCTCAATATCATAAATTATAGTTTCTCTTTTTTGATAGTGTAAGAAACTTCCCAGAACACTCAATTTTAACTTCAAAGTTTTTGTTTAGTATTACCAGACATAACATTTAGTGGCAAAGCATATGATAATCACAGAGTCTGTACAGAAAGGAAGGAAAACAAGAGAATTTAGGATGTTGGAAGTGTTGTCAATGAAATGATCATCCATGGACTCTGAGTTTGATACTGAGGGAAGCATTAAAAGAAGACTTAATGGATTAGAGTCCTGATGAGTTTGAAAATAGTCATACTGGGCATATTTCAAAAAGTTAGAAGAATAGGAGGCTGTGGTCAAAAGGGTAAGATGCTTGATTTTGAAAGTGATGACAAGGCTCACCTGTAATCCCAGTATTTTAGGAGTCTGAGGTAGGAGGGTTGCTTAAGGACAGGAGTTCAAAACCAGCCTTGGTAACATAGCCAGACCCTGGGGTAGTGTATACCTGTAATCCAAGCTACTTGGGAGCTGAGGCAGAAGCTATTGCTTGAGCTGTAGCAAGCTATGACTGTGCCATGAACTTTAGCTTGGGCAACAAAGTGAGACTGTCTCAAAAAAAAAAAAAAGTGTCTCTTAGATATAGTCAGCAGTTAGCATATTTTCCTAATTAAAACACAGGGCATAGGGCAGGTAGTATGTGATAGGCAGGATAACTGCCTATAAACTACTTGCAATTGTATTTGCTCCAGAAAAAATCATGGGTCACTCAGTGATTTATTTTCCAGTAATTCTTTGAATAGGTTACAATTCCTTATCCAACATTTTGAAAGTCAAAAAGCTCTGAAAATCATATGTTTTCTTAACATTTGGTGGCAAAACCTGTTTTGACTTGACTTTTAAACTTGGCTTAACCTGAACCCAGGAGCAAAGTGGCAAAACCTGATCTGAGAAACTTGATCTGAACTGGAGACTATTCATACGTTTTACTTGTCCTACTTAGTGAGAAACCATAATTGTTCCTGAAAAAATGTCAACTTGTTCATGAGGTGCTGCCCCAGACTTCACGGGATGTCATATTAACATAAAGTACACTTTTCTAAAAAGTCTGAAAATTTCTGAATTCTGAAATCCATCTGCCAGAAAGGTTTCTTAATAAGAGAAGTGGATCCATATCTCTTATAGCCATAATATGCTACCTTACATATAATGAGCTAGATTTAGAAAATCTGGTTAAATACTGAGAGTATGTACTTTATCTTGGTGGGAGGATCCTGGTCTTAATATTTGAAAAATTAAAGAAGATCAAAGATTATTAAAATGAATAAAACAGATTAGAATTCTAAAACAAATCCTTCATGGGCAAAATAAAGTCTAAAAATTCAAAAAGTTATTAAAAATAAACAAAAAGGGCAGTGCCTGTGTCTCAAAGGAGTAGGGCGCTGGCCCCATATACCAGAGGTGGCAGGTTCAAACCCGGCCCCAGCCAAAAAAAAAAAAACAAAAAAAACCACAACAACAAAAATACCTATACAAAATGTTTTTTAATTATGGTTTTTATTATGTATATTGTGTTTCTGATTTCATTAACTGAAAATTGGTAGCAATTAGAAATTTATTTTATGTAAATACATAATGATTAAACCAAAGAATGACATTTCTGAAAAACTGTGTTTATAAAGTTTACTGCTACATTTACATTTCTTAAGGGACACAGCTATTTCAATTACTAGATGGTCACTATCAGTAATAATAGTGATTACTTATGTTGATTATTCACACTTTTCTTCGTCTGCAAAATAAGGAGGTTAGTACTGAGAACAAACATGAAACGGAAAGAGCCAATCCTTCAAGATGGAGCCCAGGTAACTGAGCCTACATTGCAAATAGAGGCAAACGGCCATTTGCTGACTACAGGTCAAACTGTACACCGTTTCAAATACGTACTCTGAATTTCCCAGCCAGCACCTTTTCTTCACCCCGACTTTCAGCGCTCACCTGAACCAACTAATCAGAGCTCTTCTTCCTCAACCAATCAGGGCTCAGGTGAATCAGCCAATCAGAATTCAGTCAATCAGAACTTAACAGGTTTCAATCCTTTATTTATATAAACAAATCTGATTGGAAGTCTCGGGCGCGAACTTTTCCTATAAAACTTGACCCTTCTCTTTGTTTTGTGGAACCACTTCTTGTTTTACGCAGAAGGTGGTTTGTTCTCTGGTTTGTAAACTGTTCTCTGTAATAGTTTTTCTCCAAATTCCTCCCCTGAGAATTGCTGTTCACAGGATTAAGTGGTTCTTCTTAATTCTATAATCATGTGCATATGTTGTACTAGAACAAGTTCAAGGGTGGTGCCTGTGGCTCAAAGGAGTAGAGCGCTAGCCCCATATGCCAGAGGTGGCGGGTTCAAACCCAGCCCCGGCCAAAAACTGCAAGGAAAAAGAAATTAAAAAATTAACAAGTTTAAAAATGTCAGTGTATAAGAAATGAACCAGTACACGTTGAGAACCTGTATTATCAAACTAAGGTTATCTTACAAAGCACTTGGAAGTGACGATTAAAATATATGAAAGAGGATTTTGAACGTTCTGTATTTGTAAAGTGCTACAACTTTAATGCAATGTAATTTGTCCTTTCTTCACTGGTGACATTGCAGATTTTAGCAGGATTTTATGGCAGCACAAGAATATGAAGTGGGATAGAAGACATTTGTTTCCCTGGTGGTAGGACTCAAACTGAATGCCTAACATAGGGAGGTAAGATATTTAACAGTCAAAAATGATTTTAGAAATTATAATTTAACAATACAAGACAAAACTCGTGCACACAAAATAATAACAGTAGTTATTGTTAACTCGTGCACACAACACAACAGTAGCTAACTCGTGCACACAAAACAACAACAGTAGCTAACTCCCAGGAGGGCGGGTAGAAAAGGTCACTGCTGGAGATGAAATAAAATCAGAGAACATTGGAACTGTAAAGCTCCTAGGCTCTGAGGTTTTACAGTCAACAGTAGTTTTAAAAACAACGTGATTAGACCAGGAGTTGAGAACCTTGGAATTTAGAGGTTGCAGCCCCATGCTTGGGTTCTCTTCCCTTATTTCTCTGGTTCTTTATTTCCTTATCTATAAAATAGGTGGATTAGTTTGGACTCTTTAAGATCTAGGCAGTGACGCAGTAATGTTTCAGAGATATTCTTTCCACATCGCTGGTAAATTATTTGACTCTCCGGTGCGTTTATTTTGTGTGTCGAAATAAGATTTTTAAAAAAGTAACTGTAAACGGACTCTTTTGTTGTGGTTAGGCCGCTGAGCGAAAACCGCGAGTCAGAAGACAGGAGACAAGCAGCAGTCAAGGAAGTAAAAAACAGCTGGGCCGGCTCGGTGCCGGGCTGCAAGAAGCCCCAGCTGGGGGAGGGAAGAGGGGGCGTGGCGGCGGACCCGGCGGGCGTGGCGGCTGCGGAGACGACAGCGGAAGGGAACGCCCGTGGGCGGAAGTGACGTGCGCCGGCTCTAGGCTCTGAGGGGAGGTGTAGCCGGTGCGAGAAGGGAGGCGGTAGTGGCGGAAGAGGTTCAGCAGCTGATGGCAGATCAACATCAGTCGCCTGTCTAATGCTCTCCCTTGGTCTGGGAGCCCCTGCACTGGGTAAGGCACCTCCCCGGTTCGCCCCAGCGTCTGGTGCGGGGCGGACGCCAGCTGGAGCTCTTTTGGGGCTCGTGCTACGTCCATTCGCCCTTTAGGGGCCCGGCCGGTCTCGGGAACGGTCTCCGTGGTGACGATGTTTTCCTTCCCGAGGACAGACTTTCCCTTCGGACTGCGATTGTGACGGGGGTGTGTGAAACTCGGGTCACTCGTGGAGTTGGGGAAAAGCCACGGGTGGCCCCCCCCACCGTGGGGGCGGCTTGCGGGATAGGCCTGGGGGATTTGGGGGAGGTGCGAGGTACGGGGGACTCATTGGCGGAGGGGGTGCGTGACTTGGGTGACCTCTGGGAAAAAAACCCTTATCGTGCCCAGGGCTCAGCTCTCGGGAGACCGTTTTGAGGGCGGCGTTGTGTGCTGCTGGCGTAGGTGAGCTTGAGACAACACGCAGGTCGAGTTCCGCAAGGACGCGGGCTTTGCCTCTGCGCAGAGAAACCCAGCTGTTTTCGTTAGAGTCGCCGGTGGCCAAGGAGGCGGGGACTCCCTGCGCCGCGTAGGTTTGAGGGCCGCAGGCGGAGTTAGCTATTCTGGCAGCTTCCCTGACTTCACCTGGGCTGTGGAATGAGCGCTTCACCTGCTTATAAAGGGTTCCTGCCCGGGCGCTGGGCGGGGTTACTTAAGAAGTCCTTTGACGAGAGTAACAGCATTCTTTCCGTATTCGACTTTGCTTGATTTCGTATCAAAGAATCCTTCCCCGTTGCCAGCCAAACACCCTGCAGATGTGCAAGTTGTGGACAAGTCCCGACCGGTGATCGTCGCGTGGGGAATGTACGGAGATAAAAGAGTTTAGATGGTGTGTGTCTGTTAGCCTTTTGAGAAGTATTACATCTTATTGAAAAAAGTTTTGTTAGAAAACGTAACGTTGCCTCGGCCCCTGTAGCTCAGCGGCTGGGGCGCTGGCCACATACACCAGAGCTGGTGGGTTCGAACCCAGAGCAGGCCTGCCAAACAACGACGACTACAACCTCCGCGCTCCCCCACCCCCCCAAAATAGCCGGGCGGGCTCGGCACCTGTAGCACAGTGGTTAAAGCGCCCAGCCACATATACCAAAGGTGGTGGGTTCGGGGCGGCCCAAGCCTGCCAGACAACCATGACAACTACAACAACAAATTAAAAATAGCCGGGCTTTGTGGCAGGCGCCTGTAGTCCCAGCTGCTTGGGAGGATGAGGCAAGAGAATCACTTAAGCCCAAGAGTTTGAGGTTGCTGTGAGCTGTGGCGCAGCGGCACTCTATCAGGGCGACATAGTGAGATTCTGTTTAAAAAAAAAGTTGCATTTGACTCTGTACATATAAGGGATTAGATTTGTGGTTTAACAAAGTAGTTTCGAATTGCTAGAGATTTAGGTAGGAAAATATTAACTTTTCAACTCTGCTTTGTGCTAATGGTACAATTTCTACTAACTGTGCTAACAGTTACTAATTATAATCTTGGTACTCAATTCCAAAAGCATTTAAAGAGCTCATTTGAATAACCTTTATCTAAAAGTGGGCTGATTGTCCTGAAAGCGCTGGGCTATAGAGACGGAGCTGAGGTCAGGCTTTCTCTTCTGTTTGTTCTTTAATAGGGTAATCTAGATTTCTTGAAGGATTATTTGATTATGCTAGGAATGACGTCTATGAAGCTTTTTTTTTTTTTTTGGCAACTCTTATTGTCAAACTTCAAAGAACATTGTCTTTTGTTTTTAGTCATCACATTCAATAATTATGACTGCAGCTTTGTGTTTTGAATTAACCAGTAAATGCTTTTTGCATAAAACAACATTTTGGAATTCTAAGTTCCAACCTTTATAATGATGTTTAAATATTTGCGGGAGAGTCTTACGCTTTTCTGGGGGAATTATCTCTCACGTGAAGCTTTTTGGATTATGTTTTGGAAAGGATAAGTAAAATTTGGGCTTTATGTACCTCTGGCTTTTTTAAGTTTATTTTGCCCCAGACAGACCTTTAAAAGAAAATAAATTCCCTTTCTCCCAATATATATGGGCCAAGAATCACAGCCTTTAAAAAACTTACAAAAATATGAAGTAGATAGATGATGTGGGTGACATTTGGACAGAGTGAAGTGGCACTCAGGTGTAAAGGATTTTGGAGATAAGGATATCTGCAAGAGTGAATTGGTAGGCTGGGGGCTTTCCTTCTGTCTTCCAGAAAGATTGATGGTAACACTTTTCTGGAGTAGAAGTCTGTTTATAGTTAATGGTCTTGAATGCTAGACATTTTTTTCTTATAGGTGTGTTACTGAAGTTTGGAGATAATTTTAAAGATTTATACTTTCTTAGCTGAAAACTTTTGAAACTTTAACTTTGCACTACCTGCATTATAATACTTAAACACGGGTACAAAGTGTTCATATTCTAAAATGCGGTGTGTCTCTATTGTAGATCACGTGTGGACTTTTAATGTTTCATTTCTTTGCTTTACTGACTTTTTATTGTGGGACTTTTCAAACATGCAGAAAAGGAGAAGGCACAGCAAAATGAACCAACATTTTGGTAATTTTTTTTTTTTTTTTTTTTTTTTTTTTTTTTTGCTGTTTTGGCCCGGGGCTGGGCTTGAACCCGCCATCCCTGGTATATAGGGCTGGCGCCCTACTCCTTGAGCCACAGGCGCCCCCCCCCACCTTTTTTTTTATTGAGACAGTCTTAAGCTGTCACCCTGGGTAGAATGACAAGGAATCACAGCTCACAGCAACCTCACAGCCTCCCACGTAGCTGAGACCACAGGCTCCTGCCAGAACACCCGGCTTTTTTTTTTGTTGTTGAAATTGTCATTGTTTTAGCTGGCCGGGGCCAGGTTTGAACCCACCACCCTTGGTGCATGTGGCCAGTGCCCTACCCACTGAGCTATGGGCACCACCAGCCTTGTTACTCCCATTAACAACTTATTTTTTTTTCCTGTGGAGTTTTAAAAATATATTTCATTATAATTAGCTTAGCATCTATATCTGTTTAGAACTTAAAATGTATATAATCGCTATACCATATTATCATATATAACAAAATAACCTTATTTCTTTTTGGATTCTAATTACTAGGCCTGGCAAATATAATGTTTATCTAAATTAAAAAGCTTAGTTTATTTAAAAAAAATTTTTTTTTTTGGTAGAGATAGAGTTTAACATTACTGCCCTCAGTAGAGTGCTGTGGCATCACACAGCTCACAGCAAGCTCCAACTCCTGGGCTTAGGTGATTGATTCTCTTGCCTAAGCCTCCTGAGTAGCTGGGACTACAGGCGCTCGCCGCAACACCCAGCTATTTTTTTGTTGCAGTTCCCTGGGGCTGGGTTTGAACCTGCCACTCTGGGTATATGGGGCTGGTGCCCTACCCACTGAGCCACAGGTGCCGCCTGACTTTACGTGTTTAATGCATAGTAGTTCTTCCTATGGTTTGTTTTCTGCTAAGTTGATTAAGGCTTACATTTTTTTGATAAATAGTAAAATACGTTATCAGGAGCCACTGGAAAAATACTATCATGAAAGCCAGCACTGTTTTGGACTTGAAAAAGTTCCAGGAGGAGGAAGTAAATCAAGATATCACTGAAATATTGTCCCCTACACGTTTATTTTAGATATGTATTATCTTTTTTTTGGCCAGGGCTGGGTTTGAACCTGCCATCTCTGGCATATGGGGCCAGTGCCCTACCCTTTTGAGCCACAGGTGCCGCCCTGTATTATCTTTTTTTAGACCTTAATACATTGCCAAAATAACAAAATTAGATTTTAGGCCAACGACTTTATACAGTTTGTAATATAACACACATAAAGGAATTCTCAGCTTACAACTTTAGAGTAGAAAACCTGGAAGAGGGCATTGTAGCCAGCTTGTCTATGCATTTCAGACTTTCTTTCCCAGCCAAATGTGTCTGGCTCCTTAATAGTTGACTGGAAAATTTTTATTTGTTCTTGGATTATCTTGACTTACTATACTTCTGTTTCTGGAGATGTACTTTAGAGAACAGGAAGCAGAATTTGGCGTGGTAAAACTTCTTGCCCCTACTTCCCTTTGTTTCTAGGGGCTGTATTTCTTCTCTCCAGCAGAGGTGAAGTTTGCACTTTTTTCTTCAGGATGGTAGTGAACCTACACTTCCCAGGCATTACCACAAGGTGATGCAGTGACTTTGCACTTTAATTCTCTACTCCCATGAGACCTTGACATTCTCATTGAATTCCAGTATTTTTGTAAACTCATCTATCTCTTCAGTTCATTTCTTATCTGTAGGAGGAGTGGGAATTAGACATCTTATTTTCCTATTTAAACTGAAGTAGTTATATTCCAATGCATTCATCCATATTAACTTTATTTTTATTTATTTGAGACAGAGTCTCTCTGTGTCACCCTCAATAGAGTGCCATGGTGTCACAGCTCACAGCAACCTCAAACTCTTTAGCTTAAGTGATTCTCTTGCCTCAGCCTCCTGAATAGGTGGGACGATATGTGCCCGTCCCAGTGCCAGGCTATTTTTTTGTTGCAATTGTCATTGCTTAGCTGGCCTGGGCAAGGTTTGAGCTCACCAGCCTTGGTCTATGTTGCTGGTGCCATAACCACTGTGCTATGGGTGCTGAGCCCATATTAACTTTTTTATGACTAGTAGGTACACTGTAATTTAATAAGTAAAAAAACAAAGAATAAGAAGAACACTGGATGATTTCTGTAAAATATTTCTATGATTAAAATGGCATAGAAACTTTTAAAAACATTGAGTAGAGAGAGATTAATAAAGGTTATTCATAGCATGATAACATTATCTTATTCTTGTTGTTGCCCAGCCAGGTTCATCTGCCCCACTGCCCAAGAGGAAGCCAGTGTCCAGGGATAGCAGGGTTTATAACAGAGAGTTTATTTCACAGAGTGCTAAAAGAAGAGATAGAAGAATTGGCTCAAATCTGCCTCCCTGAGAATTGGGGGGGGGGGTGTAGGTTTTTTTTCTTAAATGCTAATCATTTGTTACATATGTTATAATTTTTTCCCAAGATTTATTGTTTGCCTTTTTGGTTATTTATTTTTTGCAGTTTGTGGCCGGGGCTGGGTTTGAACCCACCACCTCCAGCATATGGGGCTGGTGCCCTACCCTTTTGAGCCGTAGGCACCTCCCAAATCCTCTTGCCTCTGCCGAAGTAAGTGGGATACAAGTGCCTGCCACAACACCTGGCTAATTTCTCTGTTTTTATTTATTTATTATTTTTTGCAGTTTTTGGTCGGGGCTGGGTTTGAACCCACCACCTCTGGCATATAGGGCCTGCACCCTACTCCTTTGAGCCACAGGTACGGCCTAGGGGGTAGGGTTTTTAAAGACAGTTTGGTTGGCAGAGGGTTAGGCAGTCAGAGTCTGCTGATTTCTGGTTTCCGGGCACAACCATTAGTCCTTTGGTATGGGCCACTGTCAAGGTAGGTCAGTTACTTGAATGTAGAGCTTTGGGTGGAGGCTCCAAGATTCAGTTGAGTCAGTTTCTTGGTTTGGGTGGGTCAGTCAATCCATTGAATGCAGGACTTGCAAAACATCTCAGCAAACTACACCCTAGGTTCAGGGTGATGTTATTTATAGACAAAAGTTAAAAATCTTTACAGCTACCATCTATGTCCTCTAGAAAAGCAAACAAGGGGACAAAAGGAGTTTGATGGTGTACCCAGAGAGGAAACCAGAGAATGGAGAGGTTCAGGCTAGGTTAAATGAAAGGGACAGATACCTACCTGGGCAGGGCAAAGATAGTATCTTTACCGAGTTTGGAGGCCTGAGGCAACAGGGTGAGGTGTTGTACCAAAGAAAACAAAGTTGAAGTCTGCATAGAATGCTTTGGCATCACAGCAACCTCAAACTCTTGGGTTTAAGCAATTCTCTTGTCTCAGCCTCCCAAGTACCTAGGGCTACCGGTGCCTATTAGCACCTATAGCACCTGGCTATTTTTTGGTTGCAGTTGTCATTGTTGTTTATCAGGCCCAGGCTGGGTTCTTTTTTTTTTTTTTTTTGGGACAGAGTCTCAAGCTGTTGCCCTGGGTAGAGTGCTGTGGTGTCAGTGCTCACAGCAACCTCAAACTCTTGGGCTTAAGCTATCCTCTTGCCTCAGTCCCCCAAGTAGCTGGGACTACAGGTGCCTGCCACAGTGCCCAGCTATTTTTTGGTTATCGTCATCATTGTTGTTTGGTGGGCCTGGGTTGGATTCAAACCTGCCAGTTTTGGTGTATGTGGCTGTTGCCTTCGCCACTTGAACTATAGGCGCCAAGCCTCCAGCCTCAGTGTATGTGATTGGTGCTCTGCTGACTGAGCTATGGTTGCCGCCAAAGTTAAAGTCCTCGTTTCACACACATCTTTCATCCATAAAAACTACTAACTCTGTGGTGCATATTTTTAAGGGTCCTTTGATACATTTAGAAACATAAGTACACATATGTTTGCCTACATTCTATTTTATACTTAAACTTTTCAGTGAAGTGAAAGTGTAAGGTTCGATGATGAGTTCTTACTTATTTTTACGGTGAAAAGGTATGTATTTAGAATTAGCCAGCTGGACTTGGTTTATGTGATCTCAATTTTGTTGGCAACATCCAAAGCATCATAATCAGGAGCCATTCGACGATATGCCTTCTTCTCGCCATTAGGCCTGATCAGGGTGTTGACCTTGGCCACATCAATGTCACAGAACTTCATAGCCTGTTTGATCTGGTACTTGTTGGCTTTGTCATCCACAGTGAACACAAGTGTTTTGTTGTCTTCTATCTTCTTCATGGCAGGCTCAGTGGTCAGGGGAACTTTATGATGGCATAATGCTCAAGCTTGTTTCTCCTGTAGGTGCTCTTCTGAGGATATTTGGGCTGCCTCCGGAGCCTCAGAGTCACCCACCAGCTCAGGTGTATGTGGCTGGTGCCTTAGCTGCTTGCGCCACAGGCGCCAAGTCTTTTATTTATTTATTTATTTATTTTTTGAGACAGAGTCTCACTATGTTGCCCTTGGTAGAGTACTGTGGCATCACAGCTCACGGCAACCTCAAACTCTTGGGCTTAAGTGATTCTCTTGTCTCAGCCTCCCAGGTAGCTGGGACAACAGGTGCCTGCCCCAACACCTGGGTATTTTTTGGTTGTAGTTGTCATTGTTTGGCAGGCCCGCGCTGGGTTCCAACCCACCAGCTTTGGTATATGTGGCTGGCGCCCTAGCTACTGAACTACAGGTCCCGAGCCTTTTTTTTTTTTTTTTTTTGTGAAGCCACATATTTGAAAGGAGATTAGTATTAATGATTTCATTTATTATCATGACCTTCCCCAGAGCCCAGGTAAGCTCAGACAACTATTTAGTTTTTAGGCAAAGTTAACCAGTGTTTGTAAATGCTACATTTTCATTTTTCTGGAGGTGTTAAGTTACCAGGTGGAGAGTATTGACAGTTAAGTACTTCCCTGAAATAGGATTTCGTTAACTCTTGAGCTCAAGCTCATAGTAAAGCCCTTTTGTTAGTGCAGAGGTGAGGGAGGATTGCTATGAAATGTACCCTTCACCTTGGAATCCTTGCAAACCTCAGGCCTAGAGAGCCTAACAGACAACTAGCTTGTTTTTTTACCACAGTGATTTCCAGGTTCATGATTGACCATCTCTGTGGGAAGTCCAGTATATTCAGTAAAGCAAGAGTTTGCCCATAACAGAAGCAGAGAGGACCCAAGAAAAATTGGTGTTTTCTAAAATGCTTACTATTTCTAAATCCTAAAGATTTGCTTTAGTATTTCAAACAAGTCAGCAAAAGAAACAGTTGTAAAAGCAGACTGTCTTAGGTCGTCTTAGCTATAAGCCGCCTTAATAATGGCTAAAGTATGAGTTTTATTGCTGTGCTTGCTTGTAGAAACTTAGGAGATTTGTGAAGTAAATTAGATTAATTTGGTTAGCAAAAATCTTGCCCCAGTTTTCCCCAGTATTACAGAGATTCCTGTTTTAATGACTCAGAAGCAAGTCTTGCAAGATCAGTCATATTTTATTATGTATATTCTAGATGCATTTGCTTTTTTGGGGTAAATCCTGTTATTTCCTTTTTCTTAAAAAGAGAGCACAAAATATGTAAAACATTTGGGTTTTACAGGTTTTATAATCCACTTTCATCATTCATCTCCGTCCAGTGCCTGGTGTTCACTAAGCCAGTGAGCATTCATTAACTCTATAATAGATTTTCAACAGTATGTATTTCATTGACCATCTACTCTTATTTTTTAATATAAGCTTTTTTTTTTTTTTTTTTTTTTTAAAAAGAGGGCTCTCTGCCCTGCCTAGAGTGCGGTGGCATGATCATAGATTGCTGGAACTTCAAACTCCTGAACTCAAGTGACCCTTTTGCCTCTGCCACCCAAGTAACTAGGACTACTGGTGCACACCATCATGCCTGGCTAAGTTTTCCATGTTTTGTAGAGACAGGGAGTCTCATGCTTGCTCAGGCTATTCTTGAACTCCTGGCCTTGAGCTGTCGTGACTTGGCCTCCTAGTGTGGTAGGGTTATAGGTGCCTGGCCTATAACCATGCCTGGCCAGTATAAGTTTTTTTAATCAGTAACTATGTGGAAAGGGTACATGAGACCAGAAATCAAGTTGTTATCATTGAACTCAGAATGAAATGGTAGATTTGTTATAGGTAGAGACAAACAAATAGGCTGGGGTATTTCAAGTAGAGTAGCAGAGACTTTGCATAATCTAAGGTATTTTAACAAGCTTGTACTAAGGAGATAAGCTGCTTCTGCGATCTGTGGAAATAAGTGAGAGGTGATGTGAACACTTAAGTTATTGGGTAGTGTCTCTACATTGTACAAAGATGTGCCCAGGCCTCACTCCAGAAAACAGTCGTCCTTTTTTTGGAGACAGTCTCACTTTGTCACCCTTGGTAGAGTGCTGTGGTGCCATAGTTCATAGCAACCTTAAATTCTTGGGCTCAAGCAATTCTCTTGCCTCAGCCTCCCGAGTAGCTGGGACTACAGGTGCCCACCACAACACCTGGCTAGTTTTAGCGATGGGATCTCACTCTTGCTCAGTCTGGTCTTGAACCTGTGAGCTCAGGCAATCACCCTCCTTGGCCTCCTAGAGTGGTAGGATTATAGGCTTGAGCCACTGTACCTGCGCCCCCCCCGCCCCCCTTTAATGCCCCTACTGATTCTGTGTAACTCAGTCTGGGAAATGCTTGTCCAGGGGATCATGACATGGGTCAGGAACATAGTCGCAGAGACATGTATGTAATCAGCGTTAGTTATAGGATGCAAGAACTTCTTGAGAGGAGAGGTATGGGATTGGGTAGGAGGAAAATGGTGAAATTCAAGGGGTCTACATAGAAAGGAAAAGTTAATTGAACAGTAGCTAACATCCTTTTTATTTAACTGTCCTTGTTTCTGCTTATTAATGTCTGTTACTAGGGGCCAGCTGGTTTATATTGGTAAAACACCTCTAATTCATTTGCTTTTGGTTGGTATAGAAGCAGAGAGCTAGGCTTTCCAGTTGAATTTTGGTTTTTGGTTTTTTAACTTTCTAGGCTCTGTGTAACTTTCTGAGCCATACTGGCTTTAGTTATTTCTCAATTGGTCTGTTACATTTAATTACATATTTAAGGAGAAGTTCCAATGATTAAGAAGTATGTTTTCCATGCTTATGACTTGCAAATATTCGTGAAGTTTGCATTAAAATGTTATGTATTTTCTGAAAGTATAAGTTTATTCTTAGTTGGTATCATTTACTTGTATAAATAACTTATTTCAGATTCACAATGACATCTTTTCAAGAAGTCCCATTGCAGACCTCCAATTTTGCCCATGTCATCTTTCAAAATGTGGCCAAGAGTTACCTTCCTAATGCATACCTGGAATTTCATTACACCTTAACTCCGTATATCCATCCACATCCAAAAGATTGGGTCGGTATTTTCAAGGTAAGAAAACTTTGTGAATATATCTTCTGTAAGCACTTTTTATTTTCTTTTTAAACAAATTGGTAAGTAGCTTATGCTAGCCTTAATGTGTGTAAACATCACTGTGAGATAATTGAACAGAGGGTGGTAGTATAAAACAAATGTTGGAAACTTCATCAGATTTTCCTCTGTCATCAAAAGGTTCAGCTTCACTTAAGGGTTTGTGAAAATTTTTTTCAGAAACTTTTTTTTTTTTTTTTCATTTTTTCCATTCCTTATTTGAAAAAAAAATAATTTTCATTTGGGTTCCTTTATCATTTACTGTTTTTTTCTAGCCATTTGTAGTTAATTTTGTACAGCAATAAACCATGTTATATCTCTGCTATTATTGTGCTCCATGGCTTAAATATTGCTCATGTTGTCTTACATTGTTTTAGAAGAGTATTCTGTTTTACATGAATACTCTTGAATTGTTTGCTGGTGTCCTAGCTCTTACATTTTACCAGTTTTTTTTTTTTTTTCTCCTTGAGTCTCAAGCTGTCCCCCTGGGTAGAGGGCCGTGGCATAGCTCACAGCAACCTCCAACTCCTGGACTCAAGCAAGTCTCCTGCCTCTGCCTCCCAAGTAGCTGGGACCACAGGTGCCCGCCACAGTGCCTGGCTATTTTTTGGTTGCAGCCATCATTGTTGTTTGGCGGGCCTGGGCTAGATTCGAACCCACCACCTTAGGTGTATGTGGTGCCACTTGAGCCACAGGCGCTGAGCCCAGTTTGTTTTTTTTTTGTTGTTTGTTTGTTTGTTTTAAAGACAGAGCCTCACTTTGTCACCTTTGGTAGAGTGCTATGGCATCATAGCTCATAGCAACCTCAAACTCCTGGGCTCAAGTGATTCTCTTGCTTTAGCCTCTCAGATAGCTGGGATTTCAGGCACCTGCCATGATACCTGACTGATTTTTTAGAGACAGGGTCTTCGCTCTTGCTCGTACTGGTCTCGGAACTCATCAGCTTAAGCAGACCACCCATCTTCGCTTCCCAGAGTGCTGGGACAGGTGTGAGTCAGCACACCCGGCCTATTTTACCAGTTATTTTGTATAATATCTGCTTGAAAATTATGTTGATATAATCATTACAGTGGCGTATCTCACTGTGCTGGGGGTTTTCTGATAATTTTAACTTTTCAGAATGCAATAGAAAACCAAAATGTAGACGTTTCCTCTGAGCAGGCAAAATAATGCCATGAATATACAAACAATAAAACTCACTTTTCTACTGGATCACTCTGTGATATCCCTCAGAATCAGTTTTGTTATAGGTGTGATTTTCATGGGCTTGAGATTTTGGTTTGGGTCTGTGTAAGCCCAATAACAAACCAGAAAGAAGTAAGAGTACTGCTAAAAATGAGGCACATTGACGGTGTATAGGAGTGAAAGTCAGTCTGATAAGTAAGGCAGGCAGAAGAACTGCCTAGACAAAACAAATTTTATTTGTAGCTGTTGTAAGTGGGATTTCTTTGTTGGTATCTTTTTCAGATTGTTTGTTGTTGGCATACAGAAATGCTCCTGATTTTTATGTTGATTTGGCAACTTCACAAAATTTGTTTATCAGTTCTAACAATTTTTTTATGGAGTCTTGATTCCTCTAGATAAAAGATCATATTTTCTGCAAAAAAGGATAGTTTGACTTCTTCCTTTCTAGTTTGGATACCCTTTATTTCTTTCTCTTTGCTATAGCTATAGCTTCCAGTTCTGTAATTAGTAATAGTGGTAAAAGTGGACATTCTTGTCTTGTTTCAGATCTTGGAGGAAAGCCTCTCATTTTTTCTCATTTAGGATGACACTTGCTGTGTGTCCTGTATGGCTTTTACTATGTTACGTTTCTTCTATACCCAGGTTTTTGAGAGTTTTTTGTTTTTTTTTTTTTTTTGCAGTTTTTGCCTGGGATAGGTTTGAACCTACCACCTCTGGTAAATGGGACTGGTACCCTACTCCTTTGAGCAACAGGCACCACCCAAAGTTTTTGAGAGTTTTTTATGAAGAAGGAGTGTTGGAATTTTTTTTTTTTTTTTGGAGACAGAGCCTCAAACTGTCCCCTTGGGTAGAGTGCGGTGATATCACAGCTCACAGCAACCTCCAACTCCTGGGTTCAAGCGAGTCTCCTGCCTCAAGGAGCCTCCCAAGTAGCTGGGATCACAGGCACCTGCCACAATGCCTGGCTATCTTTTGGTTGCAGCCGTCATTGTTGGCGGGCCCAGGCTGAATTCGAACCTGCCATCTTAGGTGTATGTGGCTGGCGCCTTAGCTACTTGAGCCACAGGTGCTGAGCCTTTTTTTTTTTTTTTTTTGAGACATAGTCTCACTTTGTTGCCCTTGGTAGAGTGTTATGGTGTCATAGCTCACAGCAACTCCTGGGCTCAAGCGATTCTCTTGCCTCAGCCTCCCCAGTAGCTGGGACTACAGGCACCTGCCACAATGGCCATTTTTTGGAGACGAGGTCTTGCTCTGGCTCATTCTGGTCTCAAACCTGTGAACTCAGGCAGTCCACGCCCCTCAGCCTCCGGAGTGCCAGGATTATAGGTGTCAGCCACCGCGCCTGGCCAGGGGTGTTAAATTTTATCAAGTGCTTTTTTGGCATCAGTTGATTTTTGTTCCTTTTTCTGTTGATATGATGTATTATGTTGATTGATTTGCATTTGTAACCATCTCTGATCCCTGGGATGAATCCCACTTGATTATGATGAAAAGTCCTTTTTTTTTTTTTTTTTTGCGCAGTTTTTTGGCTGGGGCTGGGTTCGAACGCACCACCTCTGGTATATGGGGCCGCCACCCTATTCCTTGAGCCATAGGCACCACCTGAAAGGTCCCTTTTTAGGCCAGGCACGGTGGCTCACTCTTGTAATCCTAGCACTCTGAGAGGTCGAGATGGGTGGATTGCTTGAGCTCAGGAGTTCGAGACCAGCCTGACTGAGCAAGAGCACGACCAGCAGCTTTTCATTTTTATCTTTTGGAGTTTTTGGTTTTAATTTCATTTATTTCTGCTCTGATCTTTAATTTTCTTCTAATTTTGTGTTTGATTTGCTCTTGTTTTTCTAGTTCTATGAGATGCATTGTTAGGTTGTTTATTTGAAGCTTTTGTACTTTTTTTTTTTTTGCAGTTTTGGGCCGGGGTCAGGTTTGAACCCACCCCCTCTGGTATATGGGGCTGGTGCCCTACTCCTTTGAGCCACAGGCACCGCCCAACTTTTGTACTTTTTAAATTTTTATTAAAATTAAAATTTATTGCTATAAACTTTCCTGCTTTTGCTGGATCCCACAAGTTTTGATAAGTCCTGTTTTCATTTTCATATCTTTTGAGAAATATTAAAATTTCCTTTTTAATCTCTTCATTAATCTACTGGTCCTTCAGAAGCCTTTTGTTTAGTTTCCATGTATTTGTATGATTTGCAGTGTTCTTGTTATAGATTTCCAGTTTTCCATGGAGAAAATATTTGGTATGATTTCATTTTATTTGAGTTTTTAAAACCAGTTTTTGTAGCCTAACGTACCATTTATCCTTGAGAATGATCCATGAGTTGAGGAGAACATGTATTCTGCAGGTATTAGATGAAATGTTCTATGTATATGTATTAGGTAATTTGGTCTGTAGAGCTGATCAAGTTTGATGTTTCTTTGTTGGTTTTCTGTCTAGATTATCTGTCCAGTGCTAAAAGTAGAGTGTTGAAGTCTCCAATGATTATTGTATTTTGGTCTCTCTTCTTTGGCTCTGATAATATTTGATTTATATGTCTGGATGCTTCAGTGTTGGGTACATATGTATAGAATTGTTATATCCTCATGCTGAATTGACTGCTTTATCATTATATGATGACCATTGCTGGTATCTCACTGGGTCACTTGCACCCCAAGTCTACTGGTTCTGAGCCAGCATAGGATCTTCCCAAGGAGTGAAGCCTTTGTGTCCTGTTTTTGGAATTTAGTTCACACTCCAGTGTCAGCCAGTGAAGGGGGTAGCTGGAACTTGGGATGCAGGATGGAGGATTTCTGTCCTGGCTACCCTAGTTTAAATGTTCTCTATGTAGACACTGGCAGATTTTTGCCCTGTGCTGAGGTGGCCCTAGGTTTCAAAGCAAAGTTCCATAATCACTTCAGTCTCCCTCCCTACATCTCATAGATTTTCTTTCCACCTGGTGTCCTGACTCCAGCATTGCCGAATGATACGGTGGGGTGTTGTATGCTCTGCCAGATGGGTTTTTTTGCCCTCTTTCAGTGCCTCTTTTCTTGCTGTAATATTAAAGCTAGGTAGTATGATTGCTCACCTGATTTGTGGTTCTTTGGAATGTGTTTGCTTTCGGGCTTAGATTGTTGAATTTGGTGTTCATTTGGCCAGACTATTGCTGGAGATGTATATTTGACTGTCTTACTCTGCCCACTCTGTAGAATATTTGAATTTTGTATTTGGGATCTTCAACTGTTGGTATAATGCAAATATTCTAAAATACAACGAAATTTGATATCCAAAATACTTCTGGTCCCCTGTAATTCAGGTAAGAGATATAGTCAACCTATATAACCAAAGACACAGATGTAGAATGTTACATTAAGTCCATTTAATTAGAATGTAAACTTCATTTATGGAAGTTTTAGGAGATGAGATTGGAGTTACATTTCAGTCTGCGCAAGACCTTCAGTGTTAGGCTAAACGAAGCAATTTATAGACTGTTAAGGGCAGTTAAAGTCTTTGTGTATGTGTGGGTTGAAATTATATTTCAACAATATGAGTCTTACCTTTTTTCTTTAGACTACTTGTTTAGTGTGTTTTTTTTTATCTTTTGTTACTGACTTTTCATCTGAGCCCTAAGCCTATGACTTCTTCAATTGTAGCTGAACACCAGTTCTGCCCATTGTACTGCTTCTTTATTTCTAAGTCCTTAATATTACTGTTCATGCCCTTCTTATTTCAAGACCTATTGAGAATAGGTCACCTATATTCCCTGCTTGCTTTCTTGCCTCTGTACCTCTGTTTTTAA